GCTCTTCAACACACATAAGGTGTATCCTTTTAAACATGGTGCAACTCTCCAAGAGGTAAATCGGGAGTTACCTTTGAGTTGCCTCTATCATATGCTCTTGTCGTGGCATAGAATGAACATCGTTTTTATTGTTGCATGAAGTATGCATTTTGAATTGTTGCATTGAACATGCATTACCATGTTTGCATAAGGCATGTATTCTACAGTGAATATGCCACGTTGATTATCTTGCATTGAATATGCCTCGTGGATTATCTTGCATTGCATATGCCTCATTGATTGTCCTGCATTATTGATTATCTTGCACTGCATATGCATCGTTGTCATTCGTTTCGCAGGAGACATGCATTGCATTGCATTGTCTCTATCAAGTTTCATTCTCATACATGCACGATATTGTATGTACGGTTCATTTAGAGGAATTCTGGGTAAAACCATTCCTCTTCCCTATTTCGTTAGTTGGAAACACCCAGGTACGCCCGGTGTTTACACTGACACCTTGTTAGAAGCGTTTGGGGCGTGTGCCCGACGCTTATACTCCGTTGGTTAGAGACGTTGGGTTGTGCACCCGATGCTTATACCACCCCTTTTGGTTAGTAGTGTTTGGACCGCGTGCCCAGCACTTACACCACTCCTTGGTTAGAAACGTTTGAGATGTGTGTTCGACGCTTATACCACCTCTATCTTGGTTAGAAGCACTTGGGACGTGTACCCGGTGTTTATGCCACCCTTCGGTGTTTACATTGCTCATTCCCCTCTCTCGCGTGTGATACACTGAGAGGTGTGCCCTTTCCCTCTCTCACGTGTGATACACTAAGAGGTGTGTCCTTTCTCTCTCTCGCGTGTGATACGCTGAGAGGTGTGTCCTTTCCCTCTCTCGCGTGTGATACACTGAGAGGTGTGCCCTTCCCTCTCTCGCGTGTGATACGCTGAGAGGTGTGTCATTTCCCTCTCTCACGTGTGATATGCTGAGAGGTGTGTCCTTTCCCTCTCTCGTGTGTGATACACTGAGAGGTGTTTCCTTTCTCTCTCGCGTGTGATACGCTAAGAGGTGTTTCGTCTAAGACTCCAGGTATTCCCGATGGTCGCTTTGAGCCTTTCCTGTGCAAGGCGCAGTAAAGATTGCATAATTTTCTTACATCTTTTCTGCTGAAATGTGTGAGACTGTAGTTCCTTAATCGCTTGCTTAAAAAGTTGTATTTATTTTGCATAAATGCTTCTTTACAGCCCTCTTTGCATAATCATAAGTTATGCTCTGGCATTGTGCACGTCCTTTGCATTTTGCCCCTGCCTGCGGGCGCATCTGTATTGTTACCTTGCTTGTTTGTCTAAGTCTTCGGCTTTGTCAAAAATGGGTCGTCTCTGGGTTTTGACATTCACTCCTGTCATTTCATGACTTTCGAGTTCTGTCAAAGAGGGGCAACTGTAGACACCCTATTTTTTACCGACCTTAAGACTCTGACGTCATCGTTTGTGCACGCGATGATTGCACATGTTTGTGCTTGTTTCGAACGCCCGAAGTTCTCAGCTGTGTGCCTTGTCTTTGAGCCTCTTAACACTTTGTGTTTTGGCCTTGGTTTTTGGGCCAAACCTTGTTGCCTCTTGCCTGAGGGAGGGGAAGGGCTGTCGGCCACTTGTGGCACTTGCCAGCCACTTTTCTCCCTTGTAGGCCACTTAGAGTTGTCAGCCAGCTGTAGACGTCCCTGAACGTCCCGGGAGCATGAATCGCTACAGTTCGGACTCAAATCGTTACGGTTCTTAATCCGAACCAAAGAGTCCAAATCCGGCAAATCGTTTTGGAAAATAGATTTTTAGAAAGAAGTGCCAAACATGGACTGCTTTGCCAGATACAGAGTCGCCACCTAAATATTTTTTATGGGGGAATTTAGGAAACCCTGACTCGTTTGCCTAAGGCCACGTGTCCGTCATCAACAAAGTTGCCTCGGCTCGGGAACTTGGGTACGATTGGGGAAGGTCAACTATGAGCACCACCTCTCACCCGATCCGAAGATCGGCCTCTACTAACCATGATATCTTGTTTTGAAAACATTATGCGTTCTTATACCGGTTATTAGCCTAGAATTACTATGTGATGCGTACAAAAAAACAAGTATAGACTAAATTGCTTAAGTCGGAACAAAGCATCGCATTTCCGTTTGTTTGGAAAATGGTTTGAATTTTGCTACTCGTGAGTAGGCTAAAATACGGATTTCGATGAATTATCCCAATTCAAGCAATCTAACATTCACCCACAGGCATTCATGCAGTTATATCACATAAGCATATAACCACATGGTAAGCGTGCAATCATGTTAACATTCACACTCATGCGAGATGCTAAAGCATAAATATTTACATCGTACTCCGTGCCAAAACAGTGAACTAGTTAGTAATCATATGCATGATCCTAATTCATGTTAAGGTGGCTAATGTATCTCATACAAAATGTCACTAGAATAGGCTCGGCTAATCTATGAATGGCATGTGAGATGCGACATATAGCATGTATTCAAGTTTGATTTGAAATACTATGCAGTTAGTATGATGCGCTGAGCCCGGTACATGTAATATTGATGAACGATGCACGCATGCATAGCATAAGGATGCTAAATTAAATATGCCCTAGTACTAACCATCAAAGCATGCAAGTAAAAGGGGGAAAGAAATGGGGGTTGGAAGACATGTACATACGCACCCACATTTATTACAAATTTGCCATCGCTCGGAGGGACCGAAAGAATAATACAATTTAACTAACTATCAAGCTAATTAAATATTACAGACAATTAACTAGTTAAGCAAATTAACTAAGCTAATTAAGCAGTAAAAGCAGCCTCGGGAAGAGGGCCCAATGCATGCGCGCTCGGTTCTGCTCGGAAACCCACCACCATGCACAAGTTTGCCTCTGTTTCTCCTGTTTTGCTCCTCTAAAAATTGCACAACTCCCAAGGTATCACTGTGGATCACCACCGACCATGTCCGGATGGTCATCGACCATTTGTTGAGCTCTCGGCCATCAATAATTGGTCGGTCGGCACTCCATGTAGTCGACCGGCCAAGTCTTCCTGCAGAACCTGTTTTGACAACAGCAGAGGGCAAAACAAGGCGTGGCAATGTATTTCAAGCAAATGTGTGCACCAACACATCCCTTATCATGTTTGTGACTCAAATGGGTATGTTCCTTGATTCTCGGACCACCAATTGCGCATTTCAATGCGTGATGGCCCAAGGAACCAAGTCGTGCATTTTGATTTCAAATGAAATGCAATGCATAGAAACATACTAAGGGGCTTTCAACCTCTATCATGGCTTGATCAAGAGGTGAAAGATGCATGCAATGATATGCAACCTAGACATGTGAGCTAAGTGTGCAACATGAGATGCAAACAAGTAAGCATGCAATAGGCACACAACCTAAGCAAATAAGTATGCAAGACATGGAATAACTATGCAAGCTTAACCATGCAAGCATGCAAGGTGCAACATGGACAACATGTTAGGCAACTTAGCCAAGAGAATGCGTGCCAAATGCAAAGCGATTGAAGCATGCAACACATGCAATGGGCTAAGTATATGATAACACACAAGGTGAGCATGCGACAACATGCAAACAATGGACTTATACCAATTTGGACAGCCCTATACTAGGCCCAAAACAGTGGCCAACATACTAAGGAATGAGAGGCAAATCACACACAAACATGCACATGTTAAGGCCTAAACACTTAAGCATATGGAGACAACTTTTAAGCACACTTAAAAGAGGATAACATGGACATATGGCATACATTATAAGCTCTGAAATCATGTTATAAAATGATGCCAAATCAATCTAAACAAGCCAATCAAAGTATACAAACAAAGTCCAAGGTCGAAGGCTCACCAAAGGGGTATTGAACTACTCTTAACAAAACCAAACATGACATGAATTGAACAATTAAAATCAAAGTTTTAGCATGTCAAAACAAAACTAAAAACGCAATGACATGACATCCTAGAGGCCTAAACATGGTGGCATACATGAACGCACAAACATGGAGAGAGAAGCCACGTCCAATAAATAAAAGGATAAGTATTCTGTGAAGTTATCCTAACTTAATATTTTATATTTGATTTGACTGATGATTATTGTAATTTTCAAAGAATGGATTAAATCCTTGACTATGAATATAGAATGAGAATAAAGTTAATAAAAATCTCTTTGAGTTATGATTTATTTGTACTTTATTCTCTTAAATTTCAAAACTCTTTAGAAAAAAAATAAATAAATCAAAACTTAGTAATTAATCTTTTAAATTGCTATCTTATTACAGTGAATTATTTTTAATTAGGATTTTATTAAAAATTTATAAAAACTCAAATCATATATGAAATATATGATATATTTATTAAAATTTTAAGATAATAATATATATTATTGATTATTTTAAGATAAAAATACTTTTTTTTTCCTAATAATTTCATTTGCACTTTATTTCTCTTATTTTAGTGACAAAATATAAACGAGTTCATCAAATAATGCATTATTGTTTTAAAAAATAAGTGTGTCATGTACCTTATACATTATGTATTTTTTTTTTCTTTTTTTATAAATTTCTATTAGAATCTTAACAAAAAAAGTTAACTATAATAAAATAATATTTAAATATACTATAAATTAGCTTAATGTTAATTATAAATTAACAAGTTTGGCATAAAATTATCTTACCCCTTTGTTTGGTTAAGGGTGAGTTTGGCACCAAAGTAACGCCTCAATATACCTTTTAATTTTAGTCAAAAATTCATTATAAATTATTACATAACTTTTTCTATTTTTATATATATATTTTCATAAAAAATTTAAAAATTATTAAAATAATATATTATTAAACGAGACCTAAAATTAATTAAAATAGTCAATTCTATTAGTCGCTCGTTCAAATGAAATGGTGGACAATTAAAATATAAAATGATAATAAAAAAAAAAATTGCAATGGTGGAGGTGAGAATTGTCAAGTGCCAACAGTCTATCCATAAATTGTCCACTTAGAAAAGAGACCCAATTCTTACGACAAATCAATCCATAAATTATCCACTTAGAAAGAGACCCAATTCTTACGACAAATCAATTAATAGGATTAAACGATTTACGAAATTGTTTGTGTTGCTGTGCTCAAACTTGATCATAGTTGCTATCTACTAGAAGAGAGCTAGAGATAGAGAGAGAGAGAGAGAGATGCATCTATGGCCATCGATGAGGATCAGGGAGTCGTTCAAGCAGTCGTATCTGGAGAAACTGGAGTGGAATCTCCACAGAATGAACATCAAGAAGAAGCAGCAGCAGCAGCAACAGCAAAAGCAAAAGCAAAAGCATCAATCTGAATCTCGGCAGAGACTCTTAGATGATGAAGATGATGTTACTACGGAAACTAATCAAGGAGATGGGATTGTTGTTGATTCTGAGAATAATCATACTGGTGGGGCCCTGTACCGTGAGCTTCTCTTCATCCTCTCTTGCTGTTACGGTTATTTCTGCTGTGGAGGTACCACCCACCCGTTTGTATATATTTTGGGCATTTGTTATTTTTCTGAAGTGGGTTTTGATGAATTGTTGCCATATGGGTGTTTACTGAACTGGGTTTTGATGAATTGTTGCCATATGGGTGTTTAATGAACTTATTATTCTTGTGATTATACCACTTTTTGAACTTCGTTTAAACAATTCCTTAGGCTTCGTTTGGATTGAAAAATGAAAAGGTGGGTGAATTGGGAATGAAATATAGCCACTTTTCACTAACTTTTTCCTTTTTCTATTTCCAAATCCCTACCCAAATTCATGATCCAAACACGGCCTTAGATTATCAGATTTAGGGCTCAAATGTGCTGGGCTAGATTCGCAGAATGATGTGATGCCTGTGCTTGAAACTGAACAACACAATCGCTTCTGTGTCAAATTGCAGGAAACAAGAAGGTTTTGTGAGTGATAGAATGATAATTCACAATGATCTGCACATGTAAGGTTGTAATAACCATCGTAATAGGCACAAATTTGATTTATTACAGGGAAACCATCCCGTAGCCAACACTAATTTTTGTGAGAAAACACATAAAAACCCTTTACTTATAGAGTTAATAGTAAACTATTCTGTGTGATAAGCATTTATTTAGCTTCTTCATTTGGTGGTTAATTGATTTTGCTTATATATATATATATTGTTAAAATTCACCTACTACACACCTACCACTACCACCTACTACACACTCACCTACTTCACCTACTCTCCACCTACTCCTCACCTACTCCATACCTACTACACACTCACCTATTCTCTTCCCACATCCTCTCTTCTATATATAAGAATCATTGTAAAATATCAATATATCAATCAATAATATATCAAATTCTTGCATGGTATCAGAGCAGGTTTAAAACATAGTATTTTCGCTTCCTCGGCGGGCGGCAACCTCACCTTAGCCGCCCGCCGGACCTCAACCTAGTCCGCTAGAATTTTCTACACATACCTTCACTCCCACGCCCACTATCACTGGCTGTTTGGTCCGCCGCTGTGTCCGCTGGAGCATCCGGCCCCGGCGCCGCTGCCTTAAACAACTCACTGGGTTCCAACACATTGTCAATCTTATACACCACCACCACCACCAGTTCATGGTGTCTCCGAGCTCCTCGTCGGCGGCGGCGGCGGCGATGCTGAAGTTCGGGTATGAATTGCTACCCATTTTCGGACTCGAAAGCGATTCTATTGGATGCACAGAAGGCGTATCAGCCACAGTTTGTGAAGATAGAGGAGCACAATTTTTTCAGTGGGGATGAGGCTTGTAATTTCTTTTCGGCCCTTCCATGGTATTGCTCCGATCAGTGAAACTAGAAGACTGTAGAACCCAGATCATACAACAATGAAAAATAGGGGAATTCAGAGAGAGAAAGTAGTGGAGAGAGAGAGAGAGAGAGATGCTGTGTGCTTTTTGGAATGCTTTGTGCTAAATATTTGCCCTCCACCTTCTGCTTTCTTGGGGTGATGTTCCAGCTACAATTGCATGTGTGGTAGCTGGCTAGTGCAGGTATGGCTGTGGTCCATCACGTGCTGCGGGATTTTCTAAGGATTTTGTCGGCTTGGTTTGTTGTAATGGTGGGCAGGCTGTCAATTGAAGTCAAAACCATGTGAGTTTTATATATATTATACATAAACATTTTCCTTTTCTTTTTTTATTCCTTTTATTCTTATTTTTGTACAAACCAACCCACTGATTTTATATTTTATTTTATCACATATCCATCATGTACCCCACTCTCTCTCTCTCATCTTTCCACTTTCAAACCCACAATCCTTTTTTTAATCAACCCACGTTGCTCCACTTTCTTTATTTTATTTTATTTTATTTATTTATTTATTATTATTATGACCCCATAAACTGTTTTTCTACAACGGTCCGACATGACCCCATAAACTGTTTTTCTACAACGGTCCGACATGACCCCATAAACTGTTTTTCTACAACGGTCCGACATGACCCCATAAACTGTTTTTCTACAACGGTCCGACATGACCCCATAAACTGTTTTTCTACAACGGTCCGACATGACCCCATAAACTGTTTTTCTACAACGGTCCGACATGACCCCATAAACTGTTTTTCTACAACGGTCCGACATGACCCCATAAACTGTTTTTCTACAACGGTCCGACATGACCCCATAAACTGTTTTTCTACAACGGTCCGACATGACCCCATAAACTGTTTTTCTACAACGGTCCGACATGACCCCATAAACTGTTTTTCTACAACGGTCCGACATGACCCCATAAACTGTTTTTCTACAACGGTCCGACATGACCCCATAAACTGTTTTTCTACAACGGTCCGACATGACCCCATAAACTGTTTTTCTACAACGGTCCGACATGACCCCATAAACTGTTTTTCTACAACGGTCCGACATGACCCCATAAACTGTTTTTCTACAACGGTCCGACATGACCCCATAAACTGTTTTTCTACAACGGTCCGACATGACCCCATAAACTGTTTTTCTACAACGGTCCGACATGACCCCATAAACTGTTTTTCTACAACGGTCCGACATGACCCCATAAACTGTTTTTCTACAACGGTCCGACATGACCCCATAAACTGTTTTTCTACAACGGTCCGACATGACCCCATAAACTGTTTTTCTACAACGGTCCGACATGACCCCATAAACTGTTTTTCTACAACGGTCCGACATGACCCCATAAACTGTTTTTCTACAACGGTCCGACATGACCCCATAAACTGTTTTTCTACAACGGTCCGACATGACCCCATAAACTGTTTTTCTACAACGGTCCGACATGACCCCATAAACTGTTTTTCTACAACGGTCCGACATGACCCCATAAACTGTTTTTCTACAACGGTCCGACATGACCCCATAAACTGTTTTTCTACAACGGTCCGACATGACCCCATAAACTGTTTTTCTACAACGGTCCGACATGACCCCATAAACTGTTTTTCTACAACGGTCCGACATGACCCCATAAACTGTTTTTCTACAACGGTCCGACATGACCCCATAAACTGTTTTTCTACAACGGTCCGACATGACCCCATAAACTGTTTTTCTACAACGGTCCGACATGACCCCATAAACTGTTTTTCTACAACGGTCCGACATGACCCCATAAACTGTTTTTCTACAACGGTCCGACATGACCCCATAAACTGTTTTTCTACAACGGTCCGACATGACCCCATAAACTGTTTTTCTACAACGGTCCGACATGACCCCATAAACTGTTTTTCTACAACGGTCCGACATGACCCCATAAACTGTTTTTCTACAACGGTCCGACATGACCCCATAAACTGTTTTTCTACAACGGTCCGACATGACCCCATAAACTGTTTTTCTACAACGGTCCGACATGACCCCATAAACTGTCTTCTACATCGGTCTGACACCGCCATCCAGTGTCCTCTACACCGTTATGACACCCCTATACAGTGTCCTCTACAACGTTATGACACCACCATCCAGTGTCTTCACCAATGGTCTGACACGACCATACAGTGTCTCCTATCCTCTTTTATTTTTATGTATTTTCTTGTTTTGTTACTCTCTCCAAACTCAAGTTGGTTAGTTCCTATCCCCCTTGAGTTTGCGGGGGCTGTTAAAATTCACCTACTACACACCTACCACTACCACCTACTACACACTCACCTACTTCACCTACTCTCCACCTACTCCTCACCTACTCCATACCTACTACACACTCACCTATTCTCTTCCCACATCATCTCTTCTATATATAGGAATCATTGTAAAATATCAATATATCAATCAATAATATATCAAATTCTTGCATATATATAATATAAATTAGTGAATGCAGTTTCTCAAGATGATATAACTAGGATAGTGAAGCGGTCAAAGTGCCAACTGATGTGGAATGCAATTGAAATATCAAATGTGGAAGTCGTTGACTAAAAATTTGAAATGAAAAAGATGAAAGTTGGTGTTGATATTGTCATTCATTTATCCATAAAGGATTATCAAGTTATTATGTGACGAATCCTGGCTTTCGGACTAAATTTGTTTGTCTATCAATTATGCATGTAATTGTAAATCTGTTACTGGCTACATTGGCTGCTGGTATGTGAAGTGCAACCAACAGTGATGATAACAGGGTATACGGTTGAGCACTTAAGTTGTTACCTTTTTCGAAGCAAAAACAACAGAAAGATACCAAGGAACAAAATAGTTGCGACCACAGCTATTTAGTTGTGTTAATATATTTTATGCCAATGAATTAGGCATATATGGTATTGGTTGTTCACTCAAGTCATGGTGATCATTTCTTAAATGCTTTCAGGGTGTGATAGTGCAGTTTGTGGAGGTTGGGTTCAAATTTGGTGGTTCTTGGGAAGGAATTTTTTTGCTTAGTGGATACACAACTACCTTCTACCATAACTGACAAAGACTGATTTTTTCTCCCTTTTTATTGATAAAAACTAACTGGTGAAGAGTGAAATTCTAGTAGGGAAGTAGAGCTTTATCATTTATATGGAGGTTTACATATTAATTAGGAGTGTTTTATATGGAGGTTTACATATTAATTAGGAGTGTTTCTATTTCTTATTTCCGCCCTTCTTTTGACCCCCAGCTTATTCCCAATTATGCCCTCATTCTCTGAACCCTAACCCTAGCCCCTACCCACCTTTGGCCATTGTTGCCTCCCCATCCAACAACCCCCCTCCCCATTGCAACCCACCTCCCCCACCGTTCCCTCTGGCGATCCCCATCTCCACTGCAATCCACACTCCCTCTCTGGTGACGCCTTTCCCCATTTCCTGCAGCCTCCTGTCTTTCTGGTGGCCTTACCTTCAAGAGAGAGAGAGAGAGAGAGATTGACGAGGAAGGGTTGTCGAAGTTGGGGGATGGGTTTGGAAGGGCGTGGGCGAATGCAAGGAGGTCTTCTGAAGCTCAGGATGGCAGGAAGTGTAGGTCAGAACTGGTGGTAGTTGGTGTGGGGAGTTGGGGTAGGTTTAGGGTTAGGGATGGGGCTATTAGCAACACTCTTTAATTAGTTAGGTTAGGTGATGTTTGATTGTTGGGGTTAGAACTAGTTTGAATCTAGGACAGAACATGATGCAAAAAAATGTAACCTTCATAAACATAGGATTTACTCTGTTTGGTATCATGTATTTTAATGGTTATAGTTATAGATACATATAATTTTTAAAATTTTAAATTGTATATCTTGGGCACATAAGTTGAATTATATAGAGGATAGTGAATTGTGTATGACTGTGGCAAGAAGTTTGAATACTTCTTTAAGAAATTTAGGGGTACTTACCAATTAGTCCTATTAACTAGATTTATTTATCTATAGGTTCTGAATGATAATTTTATCACTGTAAATTTATTTATAAAAACAAGAGAGACTATCAATATGACTTAATGGATAATAAGTCCCAAAAGTAGGGCCTATTGGTAATTTACCAAAAAATGTACTTAATTGTTATCAAATAGTTAGCTAAGAAAATCTTCAGTTATGTCTTGGGAAACTTGCGTTCATCAGGAAGGATTTCAATGTTGTGACTATAATTCAGATAATGAACATACAAATTTGCTTTCTGCTGAGGTCTTAATTTTAGGTTGAATGATTACCACCAACACACACCGCAGTTTATTCATGAGATTAGAATATTTTTCTTATCTCTTCTTGAAGTGAGTGCAGATTTCATTGAGTAAATTGGCTTACAAATCCACCCTAAAAACCACAATACAAACTTATTGATGGCACTTGTGAAATCATAATGGACATTGATGGTCATTTTGTTTCAAAGGAATAGCTGTTAGGAAACTAATGAGCTACATAATTATGTATGAGGATGTATGGCTGAAAATTTTGTTTGTACCTTGTTGCTCTTGGTCAAATTGCTTTAGGTCAGCCTCTTTTTTTTCTTGTTTTTTCATTGGAACTTGCCTTTGTTCTTTAATTCAATCCTGTGCATGTTGAGGGAAAAGATTGTCCATTATTAGTAGAAAGTTGAGTGGAGATTAATTTATGTGATTCTCCATTTTTTCTTGTTTACACTTCATAGTGGTCCAATTACATACGGATAATGGAAGTTAACAAGTTATGGTAAAAGATATTTAGTCATGATAGAGCGAGCGAAGTGGCGTGTTCCTTTTATGCACATTATCTTTAATTGTTTTTTAAGCTACCTTTGATTTGTCATTCGCAAATAACACTGAAGATAATTATTTAGAACTACCTCTCTCATTTTTCTTACATATATTTTCTCCATTCATATATATATTGGGTGTAATGGAGGCCAAAGACCCAGAAAACAAAAGAAAAAACTAGGTAATTACTCTCCTAGGAATGCCCCAACCAGTAGCATCCTATACCAACAGTAGCCTCACCGACGGGGGAGGAGTTTCTACATATTGCAGCTCCATCATAGCTTGCAGCCCCTCGGCTTCCATCCTATCAGCACATTCATTTGCCTCTCTCCCACATGTTGTAAGAAACAATTCCATCTTCTTGCCATGAGACTCTGGATCTCCAATACCACATTGTACTCAGGATGCATCCAGATGGGATGGGCAACCAAATCAAAGGCTTCTTGGGCATCAGGTTCTAGTACAACATTGCAAAAATCCTTTGTCCAAGTCAGCCATAAACCTTGGCGAATCACCCACGGCTCTGCCACAACTACTGACATGCCCTTCATCCTTTTAACAAAACTCGCAATCCAAATCCCAGTGCAGTCTTGGAAAAGCCTCCAATTCCTGCATCAGCCATATTTTTCTTAACCGAGCCGTCTACATTGACTTTCACCCCCGGGCGGGGGGGGAGGGGAAGGGGGTTGGTTCTAGGGGATGCCATTTAACACTCACTACCCGAGAGCAACTTTCTTCGAAGAACTCCGAGGAGGTATCCACTCCTGAAGCTACTCTAAGAATGTCTTCAATAGGGCTATCTACCCCAGTGAAGGAGGGATCTTTGCACAGCTTGTTCTGCCAAAACCAAATATGCTCTGCTGCACACATAAAAACCATATCCCACTCTCCATCCAGAACACTAGACCATATATCGCTCAGCAAGTTCACATCAATCCAACCTTGTAAAGACAGATTGAAAAAAGAAGCTAACCTACTGCCTTTTACCAGATTGCCCGATATATACTTGGGCAGAATACAATCACGCAGAGTGTGGAGGGTAGTTTCACTATGATGGACACAAATTTTGCAACTCCCATTATCAACCAGCTTCCTCTGGAATTTCATCCCTTTTGTAAGACACCTATCACTCCTTGCCAACCAGAGTCTGAATTTCTATCTTGGATGCCCCCTAGCATGCCAGAGTATGCTCCACTTTTTCTCTTCCTCCATATTCGTAGTGCAATCCCTCAAAAACCCAAAAGCTAATCGTATGGAAAATTGCCCATTACAGCTTGCTTTCCAACTTAAGCAGTCACCATTCATCTCTGCTCCACCACATTGACACCCTGTAATTTGTTCAGAACCATTCCAGGCAATTTCTGGTCCAATATAGTCCAATTCCACCCCTTGTTTGGCAACCAATACCTCTTCACCAACTTGGCCATCTCTTCCTGAGGAATATGGGTAATAACTTCAAGAATCAACAGGGAATGTCCCAACGTCTAAAAATTGACTCATTCACCCTTTCCCACTCGCCAACCCAACCCTGCTTGACGTGCATCCCTCCCCTTACAAATACTGCTCCTTGTGTAAGAGGCATTTCCTGTTTAAACTTCCCAGAAATTAATACCATCTGTAAGATACTTCTTATGAAGAACTTGGGCCCGAAGAGCCTGTTCATTTTGAAGAAGCTTCCATCCCAACTTGGCAAGGAGCAAAGTGTTGACATCGTCCATTCATCTGACACCCATGCTCTGAGTTTGGGCGGAAAACATTTTTCAAATTTTTTCCCCCCATTTTCTAGTGTTTGGTACATAAGAAAATAAAAGTTAATGGAAAATATTTTTTATGTCAACGGAAAATAAGTTTATTTGGGCGGAAAAATTTTTCACTTTTAAAAGGCGGAAAATATTTTTCAAACTAAAAATTACCAATGCCACTATATTACGACCACTACCATCATCTACACCACCACACTACCATTGCCATGGCCACAACCACCGCTACCGACGTCACTACCACCTCCACCCCATCACTAACACCACGAGCACCACCATTCCACTACCATCGCTTCCGCCACCACGACCCCAACACCACCTCCACCTCTACCACACCGCCTCTACCACTACCACTAATGTAACTATTAGTATATTAGTTTTCAGAACGCAACCAAACACAGGAAAATATTTTCTAGAAAAAGTTTTCTATAAAAAATATTTTCCGTTGAAAAGTGAAAATTGCCAAAACAAACAGAGCGCCAGTGTTAGTGTTAATTTTGCTTTCTATCACGTAATATTTTCCTCATTTTTTTTCTTTCCCCAGTGATCTTTATTTAACTATCCTATCTGTAGATTACTTATCAAGTCAAGACAACCCCTCCCCTCCCCCCTCCCTACCCTGGCACACACACAAGCTGCCAGGAAAAAATATTTATAATGGAACGAAGAAGTTACTTGTTTTGTTTATGATCAACTTTTACCTATGTTGAACAACTTCCAGTTCAATGAGGAATTGTGTCTTTGTTAATTTCTAGCAAGATTTGTATACCCTGCGTTGATGCCCCATTGAAATTGCTTGAATGAGATCATTCTGACATCTGATTCCTCTTCTTTCAGCCTGTATTGATGATGATGAAGAATAAATCTGAGAGTACTGCATTTGGGAGGACTTCTACACATGGATTGTACAAAATAAGATTGTAGAAATTGTCAACCGGATTCCATAGTCTCTGTACAGCTCTTGAAAACTTTTCTTGTTATCTGACTCATTCTGTTAGTGTTCAAATTTATTCTATTGTTGTCAAGTCTTCAAACTGAATTGAAAGGACATAGTTAAGACTAACGTGAGATAATTTTCACTCACTCTTTACTTTTCAAACTGAGAGAGAACAAACTTTTGGGCTCTGTTTGATTGAGTTTTTAGAATTTATTTTATTTATTTATTTTAAAATAATTAGAAACTAGTTTGACAAAAATAAATAGTAAAATAGATATTTTTGAATTTTCAAAATTTATTTTTTCTTAAAAAAGAAAAAACCATATGAAGATTATGAGTTTTAGAAATTTTTTTAGAAAATAGTTTTGTGAAGACTCAATAAATAAATAAAAAATTGTATATGTTTTTTCTTTCATTTTTGTTTTGTGCTTATGGAAAGCAAATAATTATAATTATAGTTATAAGGAGTTCAAAAAAACATCCTTGTATGAAAGTAATATTTAAAGATTCAAGAACAACTTTATGATATTTAATTGTTTCTATAAAATTGGGAAAATTGGTGATAGACCCCTCACTATCTAATTTATCTTTCAAAAGGACAATAATTATATAGATACTTTCAAAACCCTCTAATATTTTAAAACTTGTTTCTTTTACTATATTACTCTTATATCTATCAGCTCTCTTATTAAGCCGTTTTCACAGTGTATTTCAGAATAAAATTTTACTTTGAATCACAGTAAACTTTACTCTGAATCAGAGTAAAGTTTACTGTGATTCAAAGTAAAATTTTATATTGTTAAGCAAATCAACATGTTTTTAACCAACGTAAAATTTCAGAGTAAAATTTTACTTTGAATCATAGTAAACTTTACTTGATTCAGAGTAAAATTTCTATGTTAAATTCTTATTAGAGAGATTCTTATCACAGAGAGAGAAATAGAGAGAAATTGAATAGATCATCCATTTTAATATATCGATCATCCATTGAACAAGCTGAGTATGAACAGATCAATTCAAAAACCAGTAAAAACACAAATCTATATTGCAAGGATATATAACCACAAGACACACAGATTAAAAACTAAACAAAAACATCCAAATATCAACATAATCATAATCTGATTGAGGTAGCCGTTTCAGAGAACACATCCAAATATATCTCTTTTTTTTTTTTTATTTCAAAATATATATACAAATATATATTCAAAACTCAGATCTGTTTTAAAAAAAATATGTATAACAAAACAACTCCACCAAACACGCCTTTGTCGCCTCCTAGAGTGTCGCGACAGCATTGATCTAGAACCCTAGATCGGCATTGAACCTTAAATCGGTGGAAATGATAATCGCACATCAACATATTTGCCCCTCTCTCTCTCTATATATATATAAATATGTGTATATCTATAGCCAGAGTTCGGCAACAATCGCTGCCGTAGCCTTTGCGTTCTTTATTAATTTTTTGATCATGATAGCTCACCGAAGACTTTCCTCGTCATCAAGAAGAGCGCCGTTACTACTCTATTTCTTCGTTCTGGTAGCGGTTGTTTCTCTTTGGCATGGGGTAAAGGAGCTATTGTAATAGGGCTTCGGCAGTGAGTGTGTTGGTAATTTGAACGATTCAGAATTTGAAGAACAAAGAAGAGAAGCTGTGTTTAGAGAGGGAGAAGAAAGACAAAGAAGGTGGGGAGAGAGTGTGTGGTGAAGGTGAGAAGATTTAGTTGAGGGTATAATAGTCTAATAAAATATTTAAATAATAAATTTTGTTCTTTATGTAAGACTTTATAATTATGAGGGGGTTTAAAAAATATAATTTTTTTTAGTTCTTTTAACAATGAAAGGAAGGTAAAGGGGGTTTATAGTTAAAAACAGCTTTTGGAAACAGTTAAGCAACCAAACATCTTGTGTTCTCTCAAAAAAATAAAATAAAATAAAGGGAATTTTTTTTAAGGTCCCTAATATTAAAATTTTATAAGATAAAAGATGTGTAATATTTTCATAGTGGTTGGGTCCCTCAACATTTCCCCCCATAAATTTCGATCAAGAGAAATTTTGATACAGAGAAATTTCAATTCAAAGAAATTTCACAAATTTCTCTGATGTGCTTAATTTTTTAAATTTTTTCTGTATTTTGAAATTTCTCTAATTTTCTTTGTGTTTTGAAATTTCTCAAATTTGCTCAATTTCTTTGTATTTTTAAAATTTTCTGATTTGAAATTTCTCTTTATTTACAAATTTCTTTGTGGTCTGACAAGTATATTTTGTTGCGTGGTGAAAATCCTCAAGAAGTTAAGATCTGTATTTTATGTTGTTTGATTACAAAGTCAAGAATATACCTGCCATGACATGAGTTTTTTGTGTTCTTGTGGAATTTGAAAAGCTCCAGAAAAGGAAGGCAGTAGAAGTCACCGATTGGTTATGTGGGAATGAGATGTGTCTCGTTAAAATATTTTGAGAACAAGATTGTCAACAGTGCCTATATACAGAATTTTTTTTTGTTGCCGTTGTATTGATTCTCTTTGTTAGATTTTGCAAATCTCCATTTAAAAAAAACTTTCTTTAGCAAACAACACTCAATTCAGAGATTGATAAGGAAATAATGGGGATTTAAAGAAGCATACTATGATGATGATGATGAGGAGTTTTCACCGGAGCAAATAAACCTGTTTCCAATGGTAGTGAATAGCTCTGTTCTTCTTGTTGTGGTTGCCAGGTCTTGTGGCGGCGATCGTGATCGCGGCAGTCACAATAGCAGAGGAGAAAGCTAGGGCTGGGGAGAGGAGAGAGAAGAGAGAGAATGCGATAGTACATGTGATATATGGGTATGGGTGAGGGACCTTAGGCTACCAAAAAAAAAAAAATAATAATATTATTATGTACCTTTTTTATTACTAAAAGTTGAAAAGGGATGTTAGGCTAAATCCCCTTTGTTTAAACCAGTAATTATATGTGTAATAAAATAGATAAAAGGAGCAAAAAATGAGGAAAGGCTAGAGGGGTAATAAAGTCATTTCACGTAATTCGTTACCGGAGTTAAGAGTTCTAATTCAGTCTAAAACCATATGAGGCTCTGTGCTTGTATTCAAGTCATGAGAGAATAAAGTGTTACAACATTAAACCTGTAAAACCCAAGTTGTGTGTGGGATTATTTTATTGGATAGATTAGTAATTAAATTAACTTATATGAGTCATTTATTAATATCAAAGAATTAGTTATGAGATGTCATTATATTTCCTATTATTTAGATGGGAAATTTTGTAACTTTGAGAAATGAGGTTAATAAGCCCACCTATTGTGGCTTTAAGTCTTGGAAAACAAACAAAATAGAGGCTATGAATTGCTCCATAAGCGGCTAGGGTTTGAGAAGGTAAAAGAAAAAAAGAAAAGAAAAAGAGAAGAGAGGCTTGTGCTGCAGAAAGGGTTTGGAAGAGTTAAAGGTGAAGGCAGCAAGCAAGGGTTTGGAAAAGTTTAAAATTAAAGAAAAGAAACCCAAACCAAGGAAGAGGGAGGATTCATAAGAGTGGTGGTTTTGCTTTATTCATCACTTAGGTAAGATTTATTTTATTGTATTCCTATCTATGATTTTAGTGTTAATATATCAATAGATGATTTTATGGGCATATATGATTAAATAGATATATTGATATAGTCTATGTTGGGGGTCTCAATTTTGCTCAATTTTAGAGTGTATTTTGCATCCCATTTGGGTGGTTCATATTTTGAGATTGATATGTGATGGGTTAAGTTTAATGGTGGTGTATTTGTGGGATACACGATTGACTACAAGCAATTACAAATTGTTACGTGTATATAAACAACAATAGAATAATATGGGTTGAGAATTTCCGAAACCGTAATGGCTTTGTTTTGATGCTAAATTGGGGGAGTTCTCAATAGGCAATTGGGTTAATTTATTTTATTGTTGTTACAAGAAGAGATGAATGGATGCACATAATAATTGTTTATGCGGTGTAATATTTTATTAGGTTTGTGAGATTGAGGTGGATCTTGGTAAATTGAGATTAGCTTGGAAAATATTATTTTAGCTGTTTGAAGGTAAGTAACCCTCTATCACTGTTGGTTCATTTTCATTCGTATCAAATCGTTTAAAATCATAAATATTTATTTAAAGCTTTCCTGTTCTCTTAAAATAAAATATGGGTCAAATATAAAACAACATCGAATATTATTACGAAAATTATTCGAATATTTGGTGAAACTATTCTGAAAATTATACTAAACGTTTATTCTGAAAATATCGAATATTTTTATTTAAAAGTTGTGTACTGTTTGAATTCTGAACATCACTTTAGTCTGACTATGATTTGGACCCTAGCCAATAGGGGTTATTTATTGGCACAGAAACCAGTTTCTTTTGGGGCTTTACCACAAATCATTGAACCATCTGAATATCGAACCATCGATTTAAACAACGAATTACTTTGAATTATCTTGTTGGCTTTTCATTTAAAATGTATTGTACATTGTTTATTTTTAGCTATGAAACCATTTTACAAATAATTGTTCATTTATTGAACTGTAGAAAAAAATTATATTTATTGGTTATCGATTTATTTATTTATTTTTGTATACTTGATCCAGCTAACAGTGATGGTTGGTTATTTACTAGGCTATCTAGTTTACTCTTATTTTTTTTTCAGATTCTGAAGAGTAGAGCTGCGCGGGATTTTTACATGTGGGAGTGTCGAGAATAGGACTATGATTTAAGTACTTGGATTATTGTTTTGTTAGTGGATTAAATTAGTGGATTTGGTGGACATTTTCATATGAAAACTATTTATTTTTATGGATTTTGGCATTATGACAATTAATGATTTAATTTGAGTATTTTATTTTGTGGGTTATGTGATTGGATTCTTAGCCTTGCATGCTCACTTATATGAGTGTGCAGCGTTGTCACAGTGCTTGGGATGTGACAAAATCACAAGGGGTTAAGGCCAGGAAAAAATCAACCAAATTAAATGTCAATTAGACATTCAAAACTCGAATAGATTCTACGTTTTTGTATTTGTTTTTTTGTGATGTTGGCATAAACAGATTGATGTCTTCAATAATCAAATACTAAGTTTTAACATCCTGAGTTACAATCTCATGACTCGATCAACGCACATGTGGACGAGATAAACTTGATTTGCTCTTAACTACCTAACTAACATAACTACCACAAGGTCTGTAATTGAATATATCACAGAGATAGACATAGTACATGGTCCTTATAATTGCTTAGAACAAGTCTCCCTCCACCCCCTTTTCCCTCCAATTATTGGGTGGTTCGGACCATCACCTTAATTTTGATTATGAATAAGTCATTTTAAACACGTCATATCTCATATTTCATTTTATTATTATTATTATTAATCATGAATGATTAACATTAGACGTGATGGTCCTGAGTCTCTGAATAATTTTTTCTCACTACACACACTCAACAACTTCCAAATGGGTAGAAACTATTATGATTGTCTAAAAATAGAGTTGTCACGTGTTGACTGCCCCTCTACTTTCTTGCGAAGCAAACAAGAATTACTTTTATTGCTTAAGATTGATTTCATTCATCAATAGGTGTGATTTAGTTTCAAGTACTCAAAGAGAAATGGATGAGGTTTTTGGGGAGATTATGGGTTGTGGGTTTGGTTCTGATTCGATAATGCTGAGACTTCTAAGATGTTCCATGGACAAAGCTCACGAAAATGTCCAATCCACAGATGGGGCTATTGAACTTCTGAATGCCAGATCAAAATTCTATGAACTGGCAATGGTCCTAGTAGAGGGCTGTTCAAAGCTAATTGAAGAAAAGGCAGAGGTCCCCGAGAGCAACCGCGAGAAGATGCTCTTGGACTTGACAGAAAGCGGAGACATGGTCAGGGGACGCCTGATGGAGTTGAAGCTCGGTATGATTGAGAAAGATAGAGAGCTAATGGAGAGATTGGAAAATGAGTGCAGGCTCAGGCAAGCACTGGAATTGAGAGAAATGGAATTGGTTTCTTTACGTGCCAAGCTTGAACTGGAAAGAACAAAAACAGAGGAAACAGAGAATTTCTTAAGTGGGGATGAAGGAAAAGAAGGAGATTTCTGTTATTTGAAGAATTCTGTGGATCGACAGGTTTCAAACATAAAACAAAAGCTTGAGGACGAGCGTATAAGTCTATCGAGTGCAAGCGATTTTTATGGTTATGATGGTTTTGAAGCGATACAATTGAATCATTTCTTGAGGCCAGAACAAAACATAATAATCGAGCAGATGAGCTCTGATATAGACGGATTGCAAGGGACGTTGGATCTTGCTTTTGGGAGGATGCAGAGTGTGGAAATGCGGCCCTTGGAGAAGCAATGGAGGTGGGGAATTGAGGATGACATAATGGTAATCTTGATCAAGGGATTCATGAACAATCTCCACTACAATTTTGAAACAGAGTTGAAAAACAGAGCCAAACAAGCCCATGCGAGCTTCTTGATGACTGAGCATTGGGAGGAGTTGGTTGATGAGATCACCAACTTGCACCATGAGCTTGAGGCTCTTTGTTTCTCAAATGAAGGTCAGCGTAAAAGGGTCAAAGACTCAAACAATTGCTCGGAAACTTCAATTGGTATTCGTCGAACAAGCAGTGAGCCTTTACCAGAATTTTATTATGTGGAAGAGCCGCATGAGGAGGAACAAGACCGCGATCAAAGTCACTATGTTGCAAAGATGATAAAGAATCACGAGACAATTATAAGAAAACAACGCGAAGAGTTGAATTGGTTGAAGAGGGAGATTCTTCAAGAAAAGGTGAGTTTGTCTATAAGGAGACTCAAGGATCCCAACAACCTTGCAACAAGGATCCAAGAAGTTATCACGAGATTGGGAAATGTTATAAAGTGGGATGCTAAATTTGGGGACTACAAAGGTGTTTATGAGCAAGAAAATCTTCTAGATGAAGAGAAAATTATGGGTTTTCATAGTTTGGCATATTTTGGGGAGAAAGAAAGGCGAACATATTTGAACGAAGAAATAAGGAAGCTAAAACAAGAAAAAGATGATTCAAATTTGCAAACCATTTTAATGGAAGAGACTTATGTTATTATTTTCAGAGGTTTGATAAAAGATTTCTACCTAGAGTTAGATAATTATGAAATTGACAGTGAAATTAGGAGTGATATATGTATGCATTTCTTCGGAGAAATGGTCAGTGAGTGGAACCTCAACTTTGAAACAAAAGATTTTGGAATCCGGGTTGGGGAAAAAGTATACTATACAGTATGCAGCAGCACCGCAAAGGAATTTTTCTGCGATCAAAATGCTCAGGTTGAAAGTCACGTGGAAGAGCCGACTTCATCTAGAAGTCTATCAAATTACTTGAAGAGCAAAGTAAGCGAAGATGTGTTTGGAGAATTTTTCCAAGAAATGGCTGAGGAATTTAAAGGGGAAACGAATTGTCATGCCACTGGGGACCATATCAAGGAAGAGAGATACCATGTTATTGTAGATGAGACGGTGAAAAATTTTGAACGCACAAGTGCTTATTGGTGCATTGAGAGGATATTGACGGAAGACATATATATGGTGTTCTTCAGAGAAACAATCAAGGAATGGAAGATGGAAAGGGATGATTACAACTCGGAGAATCTCATTAGAGAAGAGATATATAATTTTGTCATTGTTGAGGCGGTGAAAGATGCGTATATCTTTCTAAGAGAATCTGAAGTCCCAAATCATGAGTCTGCTAAAAGCTCAGAGGGAGGGGGAGAGGAAAACTTAGTTCGAAAAATAGATTTTTTGTTGAAGTGTTTTGAAGTGGAGGAAGATTTGATGCTAAAAGCGAGTTGTGAGATAAAAGAGCACAATGCAAACAATGGGCTCGTGGCCTCGGAATGTGAAGAGGTGGATGAGAGATACGCTATTGAATGGTTGTTAACTGAGGAGGAAAGCACATTTAGTTCTGTGAGTGACAAACTGGACACCGCATTGCAGCAAATGCTTGTCAGTAAGGTGATATTGAGGGAGTTGCAAGACAGTTTAGGCTTAGCGATTGGCAATATAGGAAAAGATCATGACAAAGAGTACCCTTTTTTCCAACTGAACGACAATCAAATCTTGCAGTTAAACCTATCTGATTCAATGTTCTCACCTCTCATACGATTTCAGCAAATGCTTTTGGATTTTGAGTGCTTGGTACGCCAAAAATTAGATATGAATTTTCTAAGGTACTCAAATTTTTATTTTATTTTTTTGAAGTTTGTCTTGAAAGTTAGCTTAGTTTGATACTTATCTTCATTCCTATAAATAAATTTCATCAACATTTATGCTGATTCTGTTCTATGCATTGGTTTGTTATTAGAACTTTCTAAATATATGACAAGTATTGAAGAATTTCATCATTTTACTCTTCTGAAAAAAATAAATAAATTCTATTCTGTCATAAATTGAAAATTTTGCACAAAGTTGAATTCATCTTCAATTACCCGTGTAGGATCCAAAGAAAATTTGATTCCTTTCGCATTCATTACTGTAATTTTGATGGTGCAACTAGGAAACATGTTCTCTAACCAATTTAACTAGATTTGCTAGACTGACACGAGTTCTTCCTCCTTTTAGGTTGGAAAAATTGGCTCGTCAATTATATCTACTCATTCAACTTGTGGCCACGTTAAGAAAAAGAGAGTTGCTTTACAAAAAGGCTTTCTTGAGGAGGTGTCATAATCTCATATTAGCTGAAACTGAGGTTGTTGGAATACGATTACTGTATACATACTTTATGTTTGTTTTTGACATGGTGGAAATTGACATGGTGGAAAAGAGAGAGATCGAGTTGGCCCATTTACATAGTTTAGTTTGCTCACTTTGCTTTTTTAAGTCATTTTTTTTTTGTTTAATTTCAATTTGTGTGGAATGAGATATACAGGTTGATTTGCTGGGTGATCAAGTTGCTGTACTTCTAGGCCTACTTGAGAAGATATATTTGGTATTGGATCAATATTCACCCGTTTTGTCGCTCTACTTCCCGGTGAGCAATGTTCCCATTATGCTTGCTGCCTTAAAAATAAAATAATTTTTTTCAAAAAAGTATGTGAATTGGGATTTGTTATGTTCCTATGCAGGTGTCAGATATATTGAAGTTGATTGAGAAAGAGTTGAGTGGTGTTGATTCTCATACAACCAGATAGCTATATGAAATATGCATATGATCTATTGTGTCTCTTGTAAAGAAATTTGAGAGTAGAGATTGCTCAAGGGTCCATGTGATATGATATTGGATCTGCTAAGCTCTATGGAAGCATCAACAATGAAGTCACAAAAAATGGAAGCTTGGCATGGTTACTAATTTGGTGTGACATATATATATATATATATATAAAATGTGCACATAAAATGTTCCCAAAAAAAAAAAAAAGACACAGGGTTTGAGGTCCACACATCTCTTATGTCTGTCTGTGTACTTGTGTTGTGTCCCTAGACTTTGTCTTCCATGGGGATTGAAACTAATTTTGCTTGGATGTAAGGAAAGTTAAACAAAGTAGTCTGAGAATTTTATCACTATAAAGTTGATTTATGCAACACTTGTACTTTATAAGTCAACAGAATGAATTTAATTTCATTATTTGGTCATTTAAAATCCTTTGGTTGATGTATCTCAGCATTAGTTGAGTGTAAAATTTGATCTATACATTGATTAGAATGTTTAATTACGTTTAGAGTTGGTGGAATTATGTTTTAGAACCTTAAAACTTTGTTCTGGGTGTCGACATTGAGCTTCTGGGTTTCTTCCTTTGTCTCTCAACTTTTTGTTTGGAATGTCGACACTAGGATGGCTCGGGATTGACACCAGCAGCTCTGATAGTTATTGTATAACATTTTACTTCTTGGTGTTGACACCACCTGTTTTGGGTGTCGACATAGTTGAGCTAGAAGAAGACCTAGTGCATTGTGCATTTGGGGGTCGCCACCAGGGCAGCCCGTGTTCAAAACCCTGCCTATTTTGAACTTACTCCTTCACTGCCTTGTATGCGGGTATTGACACCTCTCTTCACGGTGTCGACACTTGATAGAAAACCAAACACTCAGGCACTTTTTGGGCCCCATTTTTTGAGATTTTTTACTTTATATTTTGTATATTCTTGGGCCCCAAAACCTATTATAACTGTCCATTATAAATAGAATCATTCCCTCGCTTTTCTTACTATTTTCTCTCTTTCTCTCGCTCTTCCATACCTCCATTTTTGGAGCTTCAAGCTTGGGTTTCATCTATCTAGAAGCTAGATCTACCCCTAATGCTTGAGAATAAAAGTTAGATTGCGCCTAAGAGTTTCGTTTGGAATAAACTAGATGGTGTTTTTGTCGTCGTTAAAGTTTTGGTCTTCAACCTTTCTCTCTCATCTTTGAGGTAGGAATTCTCTTTGCTTCGTACACTTATGTTTTGAAGTAATTGTGTATGACTCTGATTTAGATCATGGTGATTTAACTAAAATAGTTTTGATGTTAAGATGTTTGTGAAAAATAAGAGGGTTTTCACTCAAGTTGTGAGATAATCTTTTAGATCATTACTTGTATGTGTTATAACGTGATGATTTTGAGATTTGTTGGAAGATAGGCGGAAAGCCCCAAATTTTTGTAAAACCCCTAAGATGGAAACGTTAATTTAAAAGAAGGTTTTGAAATAAATTAACGGTTGTTGTAAAACTTGAGTTATGATTGTTTTGGAAATTCAAAGAGTTGTTAAGTACTTGAATCTTCATATTTATATTGAAAATTTTCATTGAATATGAAAAGAGTTGAGAACTTTGAAATGGAAATTTTTGTGTTTCGTTAATGGAAAGTGGTAAAGAGTTGAAATGAAGAATAGATGGGATTGACATAAACGATTTGAGAGAAGTTTAGAAATAATGAACTATGGATGATGATGATAGTTACACGGATTTTGATAATATGGTTTTGTTATTATTGTTTTAGCTTTCGTTGATAGGATTATATTGTGATTTACTATTTGAATGATTATAATAGTTACACTCCATGCATTTTATTGCATTGCTCGGTTTTGGGACAAGTGTGAGTCTTTAATGAAACAAAGGTTTTTGGAAAAATGTGGAGAAATAGGTGCTTATTGGCCATCCGTGTGAGGATAAAAAAATGTGAAATTGTTACATATTATGAATTTTATTGTCAAAAAGGGATTTCAAAGGTTCAAGTAATTAAGTCAACATTGGTTATTTTTTTAAAAAAAGGAGTTACATATTGGTTTTGTGCATTGCATGAGTATAATCATGAGAAACATAGATATTTAAATTGTTAAGATTATTTGTACTGGGCGGCAATACTCACTTCTTATTGGACTAGATATTGAAATTTTCAATTGGTGCTGATGATATGCTTCGATGTGGTGATGAGTCTTGAAGACTTTGTTGGGGCACGGGAGGTCTTTTTGGTGATTACTTGTTGACAATTACTGAGCTTACTTGTTTGATATAGGATTATAATTGTTGCAATCAAAGCCTTTGCCTTGAAAGGTGTAAGCCCTTACGGCCTGTTTTTCTTGTGTTTCGCTATCTTTTGGTATGTACTACTATGTGAATCCAATGATATAATTATAAGGGAATTTATGAGAAAGAAATGTATTCTGTTTGATAAGATTGTTGTATTTTATTTTCTTTATTCACATTTAAATTATGAAATTGGATAATAATAATGGCTTGATAACTATAAAATAGGTTATGAATTTTGGGGCGCTACAATTTTATTTTCTTGTTCCTTTTACATGGATTTATGAGTTTCTATTTAGATTATCTACAGAAATACAACAAAGCTGCTAGGAAATGCACTTAATTGCTAACGGGACTAGACTGTCGCCAATCTAGTCTTTGAACTGGACGGTTCAGTCATGCCCATTTGAGATTCGTCTCGATTATCTAAACTATTCAATGTGTAGGGCTTGTCGAGTACTTTATCACTATTAAAAATCACATTGATCAAATATCAATAGTCACTTAATTAGATCACATTTGTATTAACAATTTATTTTGACACAGATGTAATTTGATCAAGTAGCAATCGATATCCGATCAACGTAATTTTTTGTAGGGATGAAGTAATTGATGAGTTTTACATATTTAATGGTTTGGATTATTAATGTGGGCTCTGTGGCAGGAGCGATCGAAGTTCCAATGAGTCTGAATTTAAGGATTTTTTTTCCTAGTTCTCTTATTCTCTCCAAGAGGTAGGGGTTTCTCTAATTTTTTTTTTTTTTAAATATGATTCTCACAGATAGATATGTGGTATTTTTATTACATAAATTATAGAAATTTCAAAGCATGCATGATGAGGACTGAGGGTTTAGTTTGTGTTATGTATTTCTTAGACTATTCTCTATTAAATATGAGTTTTAGAAATATTGGAGTATGTGGGTTCTTTAAAATAAAAAAGCACCAAAATTTTTAAAAGAAAACCAGAATTTTCTTGAAATTACATAATTTGGAAAAACTGGAAGTTTAGTGATCATTTTGAGAAATTGGAATTGAATATTACTAATTGAAAGAATGATGAGAATATATCGCATACATTTTTAAGCAATATCATTGAGATTGATAATAAGATGAGAAATGTTCTGATGCGTACACTGTTGAATTCATTGAGAGTAATTTTTATGTTATTGTTAGTTATGCTCTAATATTTCCAAATTAGAATATTTTGATAGAGATAACTATTATTGGCAATCGGTGGACAATTATATTGTTGTAGAAAATATTTAAACCTAGGGTGAATTGAAACCTTATTATAATTGACTAATGAGATATAGATTAGTGTGGTATAGAGATGCTTAATTTTATGAATTGTGCAATCAAGTAAGTTGAATGAGAAGGAATGAAAGTAAATTAAGATGCACTTGTTATGTATGACGTGTGTGCTATATAGAGGTAACGCATTCCTTTCGGCTAGCAATCGGTAAAGCAGGCGGTGCTATACGTAGGTAAGGTGTTTCTTCTTACTAGCAGCCGGTAAAGTGAGTGGTGCTATATGTAGGTAACACATTCTTTCTGACTATCAACTGGTAAAACGGGTTGTGCTATAATGAGGTATCTCATTCCTTCCGACTTGGCAAACTGGTAAAGTGGGAGTGTGCTATATAGAGATATCGCGTTCCTTCTGGCTAGTAACCGCTAAACTGGGATCGTATGTGCGGCTTGACGAGACGGTGATCATGAGAGACCTGTATAATATATAATATATATATATATATATATATTTGAGATTCATCATTGGTGTATGTAAATGCATAGAGATCCTTGTTGATGAATGTATGTATGAGAATAGAATATTTTAAGTTTTGTATGGTTTCAGATTAGTTATGGATTATGGGTGTGGTGATTTATTATAGTTGTTGTAATTGTACTCATGTATAAATGTCGAGGCTTAACGAGAATACCTTTGAGAATATGCATGGTTTTGAAAAATGGACCGTACCCGCCTGGTTTGGGGTTTCTGGTCCAGATATACCCTTGAACCATTGAAGTAAAAAACCGATCTATTTAGAGAGAACGGGAAACCGGGGATGGTTCACCGGACGATGAAATTGAAAATTTTGAATTTTTTTTTGATATTTTATATATTTTTTTAATTCTTTCTTTCTTCTTTTTATATTAATATAATATTATATTATATAATATATAATATATATAAATTATATAATATAAGAATATAAGAAAATTTTAATTAGAAACTCTCTTTCAAGAGTCTCCTCTTGTGAGGAATCCTATTAAGAGCTTGAAATTATTGTGAAAGTCTCTACCTATTTATAAGAAAAAAATTATTCTAAAAAAACCCAAAGAAATCCATGTGGGAATCAATCAAATTTATTGGAGGGAGAATTGAAATTTTGATATCCCTCCAAAATTTTTGCTCTTCTTTTAATTAAATTATTTGAATTAAAATCATATGGAGAGAATATTGAATATTTGATTTCCGCTTCCAAAATTAAAATTAATAATATTTTAAAATATATTATTATATTTTTTAGTAAAAAAAATATGGGCAAAACACCAATAAATCCCAAATTTTAATTTGTTGACCCATTTGGTCCTATTTTTTATTTTGTAGACTGATAAGTCCTGTTTGAATGTTAATTACGTATATACCCATTTATTTAACACGTAATTTTTCTTTGATGAAGGGCAAATGTAAGTTTTTACTAATGTCGATATGACAAAAATACCCAAAAAGTTTACTATAGGCTTTTTTATGATTTCCCTCCTTTCCGAATATCAGCAACATCAACTACATCAGCAACATCATCAAACATCATCACCATCAACAACATCAACTACATCATCAAAACATCATAAAAAATCAGCAACATCATCAACATCATCAAACATCAACTACATCATC